TTACAATTAATAAAAGTAAAATAAAATAAAAATCACTTTTATTAATTGTAATGTTTTACCTACGTGACTTTACCGAAAAAACCTAAGAATATGAATCCTTGCAGTCACGAAAGCTTCAAATCTAGAATAAATGCCATCATGTGTTGAGAAGGTGATAAGCACTTATTATGTGTTTATGCGAAACGTACCAACATTATTTGAAGGGTCCGATATCGAACGTAATACATATAATCTTTGATACATATATATAAAGGAGACACGTGTAGTCGCTTTGCACGTATGTTTTATTAATTCTACGTGTTAAACATAAATGCATAGCAATGTGTTATCATCGCCACCACGATCATCGCCACGCATGGTATTTGTGTGTCGAGTGTCGGACTCAACATTGGAAAGCCGTTTCTGTTTGGGGTCGACTCACGCCCCATCACCTCCGTGCGGTCGTTAAAATATGTACCACCGTGTAGAATGTCAACACTACGAGTTGAGGATATGAATAACCCATACCAAATGAATGTGGATTCTTCACCATCGGATCAATGCCACCAAATGTAGATAAGCGCCTCTCGTATTCACGTGTGAGTGGGAGATACTGTGCTTAGATTATCTAATAGTGTTACACGTAACCCTACGTATATCGATCCCCCTGTAGCCTTAACAGACTGTTGGGGCAAGTGCTGTTAGCGAGCACCTATGAAGGCCGGCACGGCACACGATCTGTCGCAAGGGAGACCTGCATGGGATGGAATCCAATGGGAAAATAAACCCACATTATTTGAAAAGAATAACAATACAGACCCCTAAATAAACAAGAATAGAGATTAATTCCAGGAACGTTGATGTATTAACCCCTCGGCAAACGCCTGCAGCAATGTCTGGGCCAGAGACGAGTATTTACACAATGTGCACATACATGTATTGTGAGTATTGCTTCAAGACATGTTGGGCTTCACATAGCAATGGTCCATGCCAAGGTGTCCCAACCCCGAGTACTCGCGGCCCACCACCGCTACGCTACTACAACCTCCCGCGTTTATCAAAACACACTTCCACATTCAGACACCAATGAACTCGCTCCACACTGCACGCGTGATTGTTGAACGTGATCCCGCGTGATCCCGCGTGATCCCGCGCTAAGCAATGAACGCTTCTGGATTGAAAGGGAATTTCTCGTTTGATTGAAAACTCCTTTCTTTCGAATTGCGGATTCGCACGCTTTGGCTACGTAAGACGTTCAGCGTGCATAGACGCAACGGCGTCTGCGTCCATAGAGCCGATCCAAGTGAGGATCTCAGTGTACACGCGTTCCATGTTGTCACGCCGTCGTACCAACAATAACGACGGTAATCCTCTCAATTTGCCTTTGTTGACCCAGTAAAGCATCGGCTCTTGCTTTCCACGAGGGTATTGCATTGGTGGAATGTTTCGCCGATTCAAACGTTGAGTGATTTAGCAATACAGGGTGCGTCAAAAATAATGTTAACACTTAGATGAGACTATCGTTTTTAATGGGAAAAGAACGGATAATACTCTGTAATATGATAAGAAATGTATGTTAATAGCTTAAAAAAGTCTCCAATTGTTCGCCATCATTGTCAACGCGTGCCTGGAATCTTCTGGATGTGGTCTCCAGAGCCCAGAGGCACATTTAGTGTGGTGTTGTTGCAAATTTCCCGAAGTGTTCACATGTTTTTGAAGCACCCTTGTACTATGTGCGGGATGAATCGTGAGATCCCGGAAAGAAAAAAACACCGCAGAGAATCCAGGAGATCCCCCCCCTCCCCTCGCCACGAACAAAAGACAAAGATCCCCCCGTGTAGTCTTAACAGACTGTTGGGGCAAGTGCTGTTAGCGAGCACCTATGAAGGCCGGAACGGTACACGAGAGGATGGGTGGCCAGCACCACGCCCGACCGCCTTTGTCCGCCAGTGTGGCGATGTTTAACACACCCCACCAGGTACTCATTTGAGGCTGAGTCGACCTAGGGGAAGCCCAGGACCGGTTCAGATAATCGTCGCTGGTGTTGGCTGTGAGCGGGAATCGAACCCGGGTCGACGGGTCCGTATCGCAGCGTAGCGCTCACCACTACACTGCCGGCTTCTACGAACACGGGGTGAGCGAGCAACTCCGTCTCATCGAGAGTCAAATCGCTGTGCTGCCACCTCTCTGCCACGTGGCAGCACAAGGCGACGATGCCCGCCACGGCAACGTGTTGCGTGGCACAGGCGGCTTCCCGTTCACACAATCAGACCGTTTATTTTGTGCCCGATGAATCCGATGGGCTATAAAGTGTTTTTTATTTTAATAAATGACCAGTAGGGGCACGGGGTTAGAACGTCCCAGCAACAAACAATACAAAAAAACACACAATAGGAGTGCAAAGTGTGGGAAAAGCAAACAAATCACTTAAAATATGCAAATAAAAACTAATATTTGTCCTACCAGGTAAAGACCACGGAGGCATTAACTCACTTTTCAAAAGAGACGTGGACACAAATGATAGCTGAACAAAAGTGGCTTATCATGTGCACATTTATAGCAGCAAAATAATAAAAAATAATCCCCAAGTGCAGTCCTAACCAGGCTCAGCTCAGCTTGCGAGATCCGGCGAGATCTTAGCCGAGATCATGGTGAGATCCTGCCGAGATCTTGGCGACATCTGGCCGAGATCTGGGCGAGATCTTGGCGAGATCTGGTCGAGATCTGGGCGAGATCGGGGCGCGTGGCGGGTGAATCGGTCGCAGTGAAACGCCCTCGTTGTGAGCTTCTGCACGTGTAGCGCGGTGTTGTGAACACGTGTGCAGCACGTTCTTCTTCATCATCATCATCATCGTACGTTTAACGTGACAGTACTTAGATTAGTAAACGCATAGGAAGATCCCGTTTAGCCAGTTTGTCCGGATTTTTGTGTTACAAGGGAGATCCGTGGTGAGAGCGTGGGGGAATCGGCCTGTGCGCGCGTGTATAGTCGGCGACCAAGTCAATAGCAACAACAACGATAATACTACTACTCCCGGTTCCCTCCAGTAACCAGAGAAAGCCTCCATTCTCGTTGTTCGCCAAGGGTCCTTGCATTGGGATGGCTGCTTGTCTTGCTGTTCAGCAACAGCTGCAATGGTACAGCGAGGTGGTCAGATGAGTGCGGAATCAGGGAGTCTCGGAGTTGCGGTGAATCGCTGCTGTGATGATCGTTCGTATTGATCTGCGTAAGCCTGTAGATCTCTGTGTGAGTCTGTGCTTCTCTATGCGAGTCTGGGTGTCAGTGTGAATCTATAGATAGCTGTGCATCTGTGGGTCTCTGTGTATTAAGCTAATGGTTTTGTATATGAATCTATATATATTTATCTATGTGTGCGTCTAAGGGTCTCTATCTGAATCTGTGGGTCTCAGTGTGAATCTAGATATCTGTGTACGCCTGTGAGTATGGGTCTCAGTGTGATTATATAGGTCTTTGTGTGTCTCAGTGGGAATCCATATATCTCCATGCGAGTCTGTGGGTCTCTATGGGTCTCTGGGTCTTCGTGTGAATCTAGATGTCTGTGTAAGTTTGTGGAACTCGATGCGAGTCCTACGGGTATCTGTGCGAGTCGAGAGATCTTTCCTTCGTATGGGTCGCTGATGTGGCTGTACAGCAACAGCTGTGATGTTACGTCATCGCGGTGGTCCATCTGGCCAGACGATTTTGCGGAGTCAGGCGCGGAGCGCGGAGTGGCGAATCGCTGCCGTGATGACGCCGCCTGCTCGACCTTCGTGTTTGTGGACGGGGCAATTGAGTCGACGTTCCACGGCTCTGTTCTGCGTGGTGAGCGCAGTCGCCGAAGGTTGCCCCGGAGAGTTTGTCATTTTCCGTGTGTGCATCACGTGTTCCCGTACTGTGCCCACGGAGAAGTAAAATACAATAATATTTTTTTATCTATCGGCCTATTGGCTTTCTCCGACCAGTATATTTTATATATCCAGCAGCATGCGTTTTAGCGAGCAAACTCCTGACCCGCTCAGATCTTGATACCCAGAAGATGAAAATCGGTCTAGAATTCATATACATGTATATATATTTGTATTTAGAGACACAACGCAATTCCGCGTGTATACGTATGTTTGTTGAACTTCTTTCGCACCCTACACAGCCGCTCTTGTGGAAGACGTGAATAGGAGGCATTCGCATTTAGTTGTTGTAATTGTCAACAGAATTCACTCGGATGCCCCCTTGAGTTGAACTCGCCTCGCGAGGAAAGCGAGCCCAGCGTGCCTCGTGGCTACGCGTCAGCGAGCACGTGGCGCGTCACATGCTGCCTCGTGGCAACGTGACACTCGAGACTTCCAGCCGGCCTCGTCCTTGCTGTTGCCTTCACTGCTGCTTCTACTGTTGCCGCTGCTGCTGCTGCTGTTGCCTTCACTGCTGCTTCTACTGTTGCCTCCACTGCTGCTTCTGCTGCCGCTGCTGCTGCTGTTGCCGCTGCTTCCGCTGCTACTGCTTCCGCTGTTGCCGCTGCTTCTGCTGCTGCTTCTGCTGTTGCCGCTGCTGCTGTTGTTGCCGCTGCTTCTGCTGCTACTGCTTCCGCTGTTGCCGCTGCTTCTGCTGCTGCTTCTGCTGTTGCCGCTGCTGCTGTTGTTGCCGCTGCTTCTGCTGCTGCTTCTACTATTGTCGCTGCTTCTGCCGCTGCTGCTTCTGCTGTTGCCTCCACTGCTGCTGATGTTGCCGCTGCTGCTGCCGCTGCCGCTGCTACTATTGCCACCGCCGTTAATGTTTCCTCTGTTACCGCTGCTGCTGCTACTGTTGCTGTTTCCTCTGCTAGTTGCCGCTGCGTCTACTCTAGCCGCTGCTGTTGCCCTTGCTGCTGCTGTTGTCGCTGCTGCTGTTGTCGCTGCTGCTGCTGCTGTTCGCGCCTATGCTGCTGCTGTTGCCCCCCGCAGCTGCCGTTTGCCGCCGTCGCCGCTACCACCACGGGCCTCTCTGCTCTTGCCGCTACCCACGTGCGCGCTCCGCTCTCCGCCCGCAGGACACGACGCGAGGAAGGGCGGCAGGAGGAGCTACTCGCGCCACCAGAGCCTCGAGCTCGAGAAGGAGTTCCACTTCAACCGCTACCTCGCCCGGAGACGGCGGGTCGAGATCGCGCACTCGCTGTGCCTGAGCGAGCGCCAGGTCAAGATCTGGTTCCAGAACCGGCGCATGAAGTGGAAGAAGGAGCGTCGAGGCATTGACGCGCAGCGGGAAGAGGAGGAGGAGGAGGAGATGGTGGACGAGGTGGAGGACGAGGTGGAGGTGGAGGTGGGGGAGAGACAAAGCGGCGAGAAGACGGTGGACATCAAGGAGTGAGCCGTGGTCTGGCCGCGTGATTCGCTGAACATGAAGTCTTGACTTAAAGCTTTTCGTGGCTGCAGGAATTCATATTCTTTGGGTCTTTCAGTAAAGTTACGTATATAGGTTGAAAGAAAATAAAATAGCAAGAAAACTACGACGTTTCGATCGCAAACACAACCCATCTGCGTGGCTTTAACGAAAGACCCAAATAAAAACGCTGGACATTTGTACGCAATTGCAACGCGCTCGCACTACTGTAGAGACAAAGATCCCCCGTATAGCCTTTAACAGACTGTTGAGGCAAGTGCTGTTGGCGAGAACCTATGAAGGCCGCAACGGCAAAACGACACTGTGGGTGACCGGCACCACGCCCGGCCGCCTTTGTCTCCCCCAGTAGCGATGTTTGCACACCGCACTGGGTGCTCGTTTGAGGTTGAGTCGACCTAGGGGAGGCCCAATACCGGCTCGAATCATCGTCACCGGTGTTCGGCCGTGAGCGGGAATCGAACGCAGGTGGCCGGGTTCGTAGCGCAGGTACACGGTGACACGTGCGTTCCGGTTGTTGGTCCGAGTCGCCGTGCGCACAGAGAAAGCCTGAACAGCGTTGTTGGGGCAAGTGCTGTTAGCGATCATCACCTATGAAAGGCCGCCACTGTGGCACACGAGGGGGCTAATGGAGTGACCAACACCACGCCCGGCCACCTTGGTCTTCCCAGTGCTGATATCTACACACACCGCATTGGGTGCTCGTCAAAGATTGAGTCGACCTAGGCAAGTCCCGTGACTCGATCAGATGAGTAGCCGTGGGTGGGAATTGAATTCGGGTCGCCGGGATTTTTCTGTTGCGTGTAGTCACTTTAAGGTGTGTCTTGTTCATGTTTTGGTTGCGGTTGCACCCGAGTCAAGATCCGCATGGCTCACATGGTGAGTCCATGTGTGTGTATGCGTGCGTGTAAGTCGATCTGTTTCTATGTGTGTGTGGGTCGATGTCTGTGTGTAAGTCGATGTGTGTGTCTGTCTTTTTCGCCCGGGCAACGCCGGGTAGTTACCGCTAGTACCTGATAAAGGAAACTGAAAACTAACCACGACACCACCGCTCCCCACGCTGGCGGGCACAGGGGCACGCCACGCTCTCCAGATGTGTCCTCTGCACCACGTGTCGGCAAACCAGCATCACAATGAGAGCCGTATTTATATCCACCGTTTTTTTGTTTTCCTCGCCAAAAGGCATCGTCTATTTGGTGTTTGAACATCTTGACGCCTGCTTTATTGGCAGAAAGGGTCAAACCTATTCGTATTTTTCATCAAGAAGATGCATTTTTTGTTAGAACTCTGTAACAAATTTTTCTTCTTTTAAATTTCAAGAGTTGTAGCAACAGCGCGCGTGAACACGAGAGACGGTGGTTCTCAATAAATAACGCCCACGAAGCCAGTCCTCTCCAGAGCCTGCACGCCGACCCCCCCCCCCCCCCCCCGCTCGAAACAATGCGCGCTCAAAAATGTTTTGGCAGAAGGGGATATTATCACACCCCCTCCCCACAGCCACCCAGACAGGTCCCGAACTTTTCGTTATTGTCCAAGATCGCCAGCCACGATCTCGCCCGCCACCCCCTCCCCTCCAAGCGCTCCGTTTATTGCGCGATCACAATATCTTGTGCGCCGGGGGGGTGGGGCAGATTTCAAAGCGAGGCCATAAACTCCCCAAGCTTTAAAAAAAAACCCAGGCCTTGTGGCCGCTCCAAAAGGAGTCGAGATGAATGAACGTGGTGTGTGTGTGTGGGTGCGTGCGTGCGTACGTGCGTGATGGCCAGTCGGTGGTGCGGTGGTTCGTGACGATTTGCGCTACGAAACCGACGAGCGGGGTTCCGTTGCACCGATTGACGACCCGGTAAGAGTGGCGAACGATTTGAGAAGGGCTCCTGGGCCCCCCGGTCCCAGGGTCGGCTCGCCCGTCGGTGAGTTATCCGCTGGTGCGTTAGGATCAGCGTCCGGGAAGACAAAGGCGGTCAGGCGTCGTCGTGGTGGCAGCGTTGACCAATCTACTGCCTTTCGTGAGTTGCGCCGGCCTTCGTAGGTGCTCGCGAACAATGCCCTTGGCCCAACGGTCCGGCAAAGGCTATACGGGGGATCTTTGCCTGTTGAACGAGTGGTAGGTTGAGTACAAACACGATGTTGATTTATTTCGGCAGATCCGCGTCTTTATTTAACAATATGAATAATAATGGTGTAGCAATAACAACAACAATAAAAACCCCAACAGCAAACAGTTGAATCTTGATTTGAAGCTTTCGTGACTGCAGGAATCCATACTCTTTGGTTCTTTCGGTAAAGTATGAAAATAAATAAATAAACCAGTTCACATCTCATTTAGTCAACTGACTGCTGGGTGTGAAGACGTCTCACTACATGTGAAATCACGGGAGTAGCTGGACCATACTGCACCGCGGTGGTCAATGCGGCCTCGTCACATTGAGCACCCGCGAACTTCCGCTTCAGATTGTGCCTCGCCAGCGACGTGGATTGGCCGGTGGCTGCGAATTGAAATCGGCCGAGCAAGCCGTGTTCACATCTCAGCGCGTGAAACATTTGTGCTCACCTCTCGCATGCACACACATATGTACAGGGTGCTTCTAAAAATAATAATGCGGCACTCATATATGGGACGATCGTTTTTAGTGGAAAAAAACAACGGATGATACACTGTGACGTGATACACAAATGTTTGTTAACAGCTTCAAAAAGTCAGAGTCTCCACTCGTTCGCCATCGTTGTCGACACGAGCCTGGAATCTTCTCCAGGTGGTCTCCAGAGCTCGGAGGCAACATTTCTCGTGCTGTTGTTGCAAATTCTCAGAATGTTTTACATTTATCCGAAGCCCCTGTATATGGGATAACATATATTGCGGATACGTTGTTGAATACACAGACTACCCTGGCGTCAATGTGTTTATGTTTTCTCAACATTTTAAAGCGTATAGTTCTTGTTGTTCAGAGCACGTTCAATGGAACGCGTACAACTCTAGCGATATTCAACTGCAGTCTCGACCACCCATAACACTCACGGAGAGCGAGATTAGATCTGGGAATCGCTCGCGCCAACGGAAAGAGAGAAAGAGAGAGAGAAATGAGCGGAGTAAGGGGCCGGAACTGTTAATTACCACTCGCTAGCCCCCCCCCCCCGGAGTGTTTATGACTTTGATAGCAGTCCAGGGCTGAAGGCCCCCCCCCCCATCTCCCTCCCCCTATCTCCCCCCCAATCGCGCCAGGTTGCCTCTCACGCTGCTGTTATTGCCCTCGGCTGTTATATACCTACAGTCATTTCCGCTCCTCTTTGTAGCTGTCCAGCAATTATTAGCCCGCCGCATTGAAGGGGGCAGCGCTTTGAGGCGTGTGTAGCCGGACACGCAGTGCTTTACCGTGCGAGTGTTTGTTGTTGTTGCTGCTGTTGCGGCGGCGGTGGTGGTGGTGGTGGCTGTTGTTGTTGTTGTCGTCGGTGAGTAAAGTCGGCATCCTTTTATTCAAGCAGGAGAAAGGAATAAACCCATTGAGACAACGGCTGCATTTTCTCTCTTCGGCATGGGCCGAGCTGAGCTCGTAACCATCGGGGCATTTAAGTGCACGCAATGAAAATAATAATGTGATTTTCATTTCAAAGGGACATTTTTTTTTATTTGAAGAACGCTAGATTTGAAGTGTTCGTGACTGCAAGGATCCATACTCTTTGGTAGATGAAAAATAAAAATAATAAAATGAAAATATCTAAATTAAATCACGACGTTTCGGAGGCAACACAAGCTTCCGTCATCAGGTGGAACAGCCACAGCAAAATTACAGTAATTTTCATTTTATTATTTTTTATTATTTTTATTTTTCATCTAAGTGACTTTACCGAAATAACCAAAGAGCATTTTTTTTTATTTAAAGCTTTCGTGACTGCAGGGATTCATATTATTGGTTCTTTTGGTAAAGACTTTACCGAAAGAACCAAGAATATGTAACCAAATAATTTGAAGAACGCTGCCAAACTGAGAAGCTGAAGCTGCGAACCCGGCGAGAACCGAGTTCGATCCCCCGCTCACGGCCACCAACACCGCTGTCGATTATCTGAACCGGTCGCCTGGGCCTCCCCTAGGTCGACTCGGCCTTAACAAATGAGGAACCTGGCGGGGGTGTGCAAACATGGCCCACTCGGGGGGAGACAAAGGCGGCCGGACACGACGCTGGCCACCCACCCACCCACCGCCACGTGCGCCGTGCCGGCCTTCATCGGTGCTACTCGCTAACAGCACTTGCCCCAATAGTCTGTTAAGGCTACACGGGGGATCTTTGTCTTCTTATTGTGCTCGCTGCTATCGCACGGACGAGGACTGGGGTGATGATGGAGAATGTCGTTTCTGAGCCGGTTTCGTTCGCGCCTGTTTCATCGTGTCCAGTGCTCGCCGTGTCCGTGATGGTTTACTTTCTGCCAGCGAATTAACGAGGAAGGGTTCGCGAAAAGCGTTTGATAATAATTGTTATCGCAATTGCACGAAGCGTTACGTCGAGTTGACATTGGGATAACTGTGTAGGCACCAGGACGCAGCACGGATTGCACAATGCATACAAACATTAATAGAACTGACAAAGCATCTGTTTCACACTCAAATATCAAACAAAATACTATTAAGGTAATTTGGTGAACGTCAACGCACCTATGAAGGCTGGCACGGCTAACGGGGATGGGGGGCGATCAACAGATCTCCCGGACGCCTTTGTCTCCCCAGTGCTGATGGTTACACAGCGTGCCAAGTAACTCGTTTAAGGCTGAGTCAACCGGTATCCTTTTATTCGTGCAGGAGAAAGGAATAAACCCATTGAGACAACCGCGGCTGCATTTTCTCTCTTCGGCATGGGCCGTGCTGGGCTCGTAAACATCGGGGCATTTAAGTGCACGCAATAAAAATAATAATAATATTATTTTTATTTTAAAGAGACATTTTTTTATTTCAAGAACGCTGCCAAACTGCAACAGTGTGCGCGGGTGGGGTGGGAGGGGAGCACACATACATAGCTGGTTAGAGGACGCACTGGGATGGTTTTTGGTCGAGAGCGAGAACGGAACTCGGGTCGCCGAGTTCGTGTCGTCAAGATAAAGATCCCCCGTATAGCCTTTAACAGACTGTTGGGGCAAGTTCTGTTCGCGAGCATCTATGCAGGCCGGCACGGTACACGAGGGGGGTGGATGGCTAGCACCAAGCCCGATCGCATTTGTCTCCCTCGTGGCGATGTTTACACACCGCACCAGATACTAATTTGAGGCTGAGTCGACCTAGGGGAGGCCCAGGACCGGTTTAGATAATCGTCACTGGTGTTAGCCGTGAGCGGGAATCGAACCCCGGTTCGCCGGGTTCGTAGCGCAGCGCCCTACCCGCTACACCACCGCTCCCCATCACACACATGCACACACACATGCACACACACATGCACACACACATGCACACACACATGCACACACACATGCACACACACATGCACACACACATGCACACACACATGCACACACACATGCACACACACATACACACATACACACTGCGGCTTTTGATGGTGCAGTGCGTAATTCTACATAAAATCTGTGAATTTGCTTCATCTTTCTGCAATAACCACGTGAAATGCGCACTCGGCAAGACAGCAGTTGGGTGCATTGCAGCACTGCGAGCGGAGAGAGCGAGATGATGATGATGATGAGGACGAGGAGCCGCTTCGTTGAAGCTTTCATTTGTGTCCATGTCGCTTCAGGAATAAAAGTTCGCACCTGCGGTGGACTTTGCCCGGTAGGATGGTTGAGTTTAATTTTAATGTTTTTTTGGTGGTTAGTTTCCAATTCCTGTATATTGCAATGCTAGCGTATGTTTGCATTAATTGCTGTTCTTGTGAAGTTCTAACCCGCCCATACCGGACATCTGTAAACAAAATAGCTTCATAGTTGATCGGATTCCTCCACAAATAAATATTCTGATTAGGAATTCTGATTTACTCATATCACGTTACGAATATATTTTTATAAACTCTCACGCGTAATGTGATGCAGTACACTGCACGCAGTCTATTGTGTCAGTGGCTAAAGGCAAGTAACCATTATATATATATATGTGTGTGTATAGAAAAAACACATGAGGTCTGCCAGTTGTGCGGGTTTTACAGTTGTAAACGCATTACCACCGCCTCTTAAAAAAATAACAAACGCAGCAGGAAGGAAGTTTCATCACTCGGCGTGGGTCTCGAAAATACGTAAATATAAAATATTAATGCTACGAGTATTACTCTCTTCATGACCTTCAAGCCCCTTGTATTCGTGTAGGAGGCACCCACATTCCGCGTCTGTGCGTAACGCGCTACTTGCCACATCTATACAGTTCATAACTTCTAAAAAACTAACATCGCGTTTGTTGTATAAAGGACTGCACTTTATTTCCCCTAAAGCCAAAACGCGGCTAACTCACGAACGCAATGGGAGTTTTAGCTCATGCAACATTGTAATGCAACATGCCGAAATTTGTTTGTATCATCGCATTATCTACGAGGTTTTTTTTCTCGCAATTTTTTTTTTAGAGAATGGACACTTTAGTCGTAGGGATTTCTTCGTTTTGATTGTTACTTTCAATAGTAATAACACAACATAATAACGATGAACAGCACGTATATTCGCCTAACACCACAGTCTAGGTACGCGCATCAGAGCCTCTCACCCACCATCCTCTCTCTCTCTCTCTCTTCATCCCCGCATCTCACGATTCTACGAACGCTGGAAAATCTCCGTGCTCAGAATCGCCGCCGTTTGAGTGACGGTTCCGTTCGCGTCTCTTGTTGACAACAACAACAACAAAAAGTGACAGCTTAAATGCGCTCTCGACCGAACATTCCCGGCCGGATGTGCCCATTCATTCGTCTTTGCCGATTTATAAAACACCGGGAAGTCCGCGCCGGGCATCTGATCGCGTGCCCAAGACACTCGAAATGACGACCAACGACTGTGATTTGGAGCAGCGACAACAACAACAACAACAACTCCGCACTCGTTTAGATGCTCTCGCAGAGATGACCGTGCCGAGGATATGTTGCGCGAAACAAAATAAACCAATTTCTGTTGTTATTTTTACACGTTTGTTTCAATGTGGAGAGAGATGAAGAGGCGTCAGCTATTTCGTGGTTCTCTTAAAGTGCAGCACTGTATGTCGGTAAGGCCAGGGTTGAGAGTTGCCGTCTCTCAGCGCGAATTGCATGCAACCTCCACCATCAACAACCTCCACCATCAACAACCTCCACCATCAACAACCTCCACCATCAACAACCTCCACCATCAGCAACCTCCATCGTCAACAACCTCCACCGTCAACAACCTCCACCATCAACAACCTCCACCATCAGCAACCTCCATCATCAACAACCTCCACCATCAACAACCTCCACCATCAGCAACCTCCATCGTCAACAACCTCCACCGTCAACAACCTCCACCATCAACAACCTCCACCATCAACAACAAGACAAAGGCGGTCGGGCATCGCCATGCCCGACCGCCTTTGTCTCCCGAGTGGCGATGTTGACACACGGCACCAGCAGCCCATTTATTCAGGGCCGAGTCGAGCTAGAGGTAGACCCCGGACCGATTCAGATCATCGTCGGGTGGTCGGGTTCCTTAGCGCAGCGCGCCACGACCGCTCCTCGCCACCACCACCTTCAACAACAACAACAACCAACAACAACAACCAACAACAACAACAATCTTGAAAGCCACCCGTGCGCAACTCGGCTGGGAAATGTTCGGCCAAAACTGAGACGGTCAGAGCGGTTGCATTATTTTACTGTCGCTCGCAACTGCGGCGAGCGGCGAGTTGGCGCCCCGCGCCCCTTCGTTTGGGGAGCCGCGTGGCGTTTTTGTGGCAGCGCGCACGCAACGAATTATCCAACTGGGTAACCTCGCAACGGCGTGAGTGATAATCGATGCTTAGTCCATCGGCCTATGTTGCCTTTCCAGACTCCTGTCAACCGGCAGCAGCAGCAGCATCTGCCGCTCCGAACGTTAAAAAAAACCTCGCGCTGTGCGCTCGGGACCCCCCCGGTTTGCCCTGATTTTGGGGAACTTTCTGGGGTTCATCGGCAAGAGCGGGGGGGGGGGGGGAGACTTCGCTCCTCGCCGCGGGGCCCGGACTCAGGTTCGCCGCAAAGTTCTGTAAAGAAGTTACAACATTTCAAAAAAATTTATAAAAATTATAATAATAAAAAAAAACATTACGTGAACAAAATCTTTGCCGAGATTTCACCGCGCAATGCGTCTTCACGCCTAACCCTGCCGCTTCCTCCCTCCCCCACCGCACCTCCCCCTCCTCGCCCCCCCTCCTCCTCCCCCCCCCCTCCTCGCCCCCCCCCCTCCTCCTGCCCCCCCCCCCTCCTCCTGCCCCCACCGCTGCCCCCAAAGAGCAGCACCGTCTTTGTCTCACCGCGGCTGCCCCGCGCTTGCTCCTCTCTCTCCCCTCCTCCTCCCCCCACGCTCTCAACATGGCCGCCAGACCCCTTAGTGCCGCAATCCGCGACAGAATTTACAACTCCTGGGACGCGGGGCCAGAGAAGAGAAGAATGGGGGGGCGGGCGGGTAACGGGGGGGGGTAACGGGGGGGTAACGGGGGGTGGGGTAACGTGGGGAGGGGGGGGGGGCATCACAGCGCGTCTCATTGGTCGAGAGCGGTCACGACGCGAATCCGCAGCGGCGACGATGATGATGGTCGTGAACTTTTTTTTTTGATACACATATCAGTTTTTCCTGCCGCTATTATTTTTACGCATTTTAAGGCAACCCTCCGCGCGGGTGGGATGTGCCGTGGGCTCTTCTCTCGTCTCTATCTCGTCTCTCTCCCACTCATCTCGTCCACCCACCCCCCCCCCCCCCCCCAAAAAAAAAAAACCGCGAGCTCCCACCGAGGGAAGTGCGGAGATGGAGGGGGTAGGGAAAAGTGTGTGTGTGGGGGGGGGGGGCAGGGGGGGGTGTCGAGACGACGGCTCGCGTGAGACGATGGTTCCGGCGCGCGCGCGAAATGGAGTCGGCTAAGAAGGGGGTCACAGCTGCGGCGCACAGCGAGAGAGAGAGGGGAGAGAGAGACACGGAGGCGATGGGAGACAGCGAGAGAGAGGGGAGAGAGACACGGAGGCGATGGGGGGGCAGAGAGAGAGAGGGGAGAGAGACACGGAGGCGATGAGAGGCAGCGAGAGAGAGGGGAGAGAGACACGGAGGCGATGGGGGGCAGAGAGAGAGAGGGGAGAGAGACACGGAGGCGATGAGAGGCAGCGAGAGAGAGGGGAGAGAGACACGGAGGCGATGGGGGGCAGAGAGAGAGAGAGGGGAGAGACACGGAGGCGATGGGGGGGCAGAGAGAGAGAGGGGAGAGAGACACGGAGGCGATGGGAGGCAGCGAGAGAGACGGGAGAGACACGGAGGCGATGAGAGGCAGCGAGAGAAGGGGGAGAGAGACACGTTCCCGCCGGCCATCCCGTGGACCCCCGGTAAGGACTCTCACCCGAAACGTCGTCGCCGCCGCCTTCGCCTCCTCGCTGTTAGACGCCGGCTCCGTTATTTGGTCAACTTATTTATCTTTCTCTCTCTCTTTGTGCGCGGTGCTTTCAGCGCCACAGCGCGTCGATTTGTAGCGTTTGTTTGCTTTTTGTTTGCTGGTGACTTTGTGTGTTTCATATTGAAATCGCCTCCAGTGCTTTTGCTGCTGGCGGCAATAAAAGTTGTTTAAAAGTCAAAAGTCTATCCCTCTCGATCATCAGCAACTACTTTTCAGAAGTCATTCAACGGATACACGTGTGTGTATATATATACATACACTCGTTTATCGAGTGCGATAGTTTGTAAACCAAGCGGGTTTGTTGTTGCACTTTTGGCTGAGAAGGGGGTTTGCAATCAGACCTCCCGATAGATCAATA